AGAGTGAAAAATTTAAAGGGGTCTGAATACTTTCCGTACCCACTGTACTTGGCTTGGTCATCTGAGTGGAGAACTTGGGTCAGACCTTTGAACACGCTGGAGGGATCATATATCCCATCTTATCTCAGAACACCGTTGAATCCTCCAGTGGGAGCTGGAGGATGTGAACGGGGAACAGAGCCTCCTCTGGAAATCATGCTACTCTGCTTTATGGCTCGGATCTGGATAAACGGCTGACAATGGATGAATAACTATAGTGTACAAGTCTGTATTCAAAAAGAGAATGTTTAATTGCTTCTGGGTTTAACAGTGAGTGTGCAAAGGTGTGTATTAATAAGCAGCGCTTTCAATACATACTCTTCACTGAAGGGAACTTGAATGGCTTGTGTCTCTAGGCCACTGCAATGATCCTTCTCTGGCCGAGGCTTCTGGTCTTCATCCAAACTAACTTAAAGCTAGAGGTAGAGCGATACATCGGCAAGGCAGAATTATTAGCCGATATTAGCTTATTGCAGCTATATCTGTGTGCAAGAAATTGCAGTACATAAATGCCAAACTAGGGCTGAGGTCATTCATAAACAGTGTCACCATTACAGAGAGCTGATTTTTCAACTTCAAATGTATCTTGGTCGTAATTGTTAAAAAAAAAAAAAAAAAAAGGAATCTATTGGTCAATTTATTTTTACCTGAATTTCCATAAATCACTTCAACAGCTGTAGTAGCAGACCTTTCAATAGAGATAACTAAACCCATTTGCATATCTTTGACTGGCAGCCCCAGACCGTGGTTGAGGCCATTCACTCCAGCCTGCTCCTGGATGGGGAGTCTGTGTACAGCCTGGTGGCTAACCCCTTCCTCCTCCTGCTGGCCAGGGTTATTCTCACCAAGTGCTCCTCGAAGATGGACAGCCTCCAGGTAAGACTGTCCTGTCACAACCAACCATTCCTGATGAATTGTTTTGTAGGAGAGTTTGCTTAATGATAAAAGAACATTTGAGCTTTTTTTATGTTATAGTATCTATTCGTGCATGTGCTTCTAAATGGTGTTTCATCAGACAAGCCCAGCCTGAGGACGATTGTGTTTTAATGGCCATAAGCAAGGCTGAATATGGAATAATTTATGTCCTTCTAGTTCAAACTTGGTAAGTTAAACTCAAGACTCAGAACTCCACAGAATGGCAGCACCATAGAAATTAAAAATAAGGTAATTTGCTGGTACTGGTTTAACACTGTGAAAATATAATCCCAACTCGAAGGTTTTTCTGAGCTTTCAACCCAATTGACTGCGAGATGCAGTCACCTGTTATCTTAACTGGAACTGATCTTTAAAACACTACAGAGACATCGGTCAGTAAATGATCATAGAGCTTCTTTCAGGATGATCGTGTATGTTGTCTTATGTGTAGTGATGGCGAGATGAAGCTTCATGAAGCATTGAAGCTTTCCATCCAATTGGTTCCCTTATGGGCCGAAGCTTCATGGTGCTTCATCTGCTCTACTGCGCCATTAAGTGGACAATAAATGTAAAATAGGCAGTGATTATAATGACACCATGGCTTTGGTGTATGAAGCTTTGAATTGAATAAATGAATGAATGATGTTTGTGATGCACGAATAGATTGCAAACAAATGCGCAATAAAGTCCCAAGTCCACCCAATGTGAGGGGGGATCCATTGCGTTTCGCTGCCCCCTACATTTCGAATCGCACGCCAAACTCGTGAACTATTTCCTGAATAGTCACGTGGTACAGCCGGCTCGCGAGGCTTCGAACGTCACCACATACGTCATCAACACAAGCCTCGATACGCGCTTCACAAAAATCCTCCTGATTACGCGACACACGCTTGGAAGCCTCGGCACGGAAGGAACCATCACTACTTATGTGGCTGAGCTCCTCACATTTCCAGAAACGTTGCAGCTAATCTTCAAGAAGGCTGTATTTTTCATGAACTAACTGCAGATTTAAAATAAATTGTAGCAGTTTGAGTCTGACTGACTTTGGCTTTTCACCTTGTGACATCAGTTGTTGGTGGTTAAAGGTACAATAAATCAGGGCTTCTCAATTTCTTGTAACTTAAAAGGCCCACTTTCTTGTTAAGAAATTTCTTAGGACCTTTAATGACCAAAATAAATACCCTGCTTACCCTCGCGCATCACTGCCAGCCATAATGAATCCAAATTGAATGTATTTAGGGTCATAACATGTGCTTTGGAGCTTTTACTGTCTCCACAGACTGTATCAAATATGGACATAGTCTCCCATAGGTTTCTGAAGAGCCATTGGTAAGTTCAAAGTGGTTGGTCATCTTTGCAGTGACAACACAGCCTGACTTGCAGCTAGATGTGCTGCGTCGGTAGAGTTGAGTCACCTTTTCCTTTAAAAAAAACAGATCCATTTTTTGTCACTGCATCACAGGGAACATTATCGATCTAACGGTAGCCAAACACCAGGCTGGTCTTTACCTGGTGATGCGTGGTGATATTAAAACGTTACTGGTCATTGAAATGATGCATTACTTGAATGACTATGTATATAATTGATGTGAATTCTTGAACACATCTAGCTTTGTACATTTACTAAAAAGACTTGTTTAATTTAAACTAACCATTTGGCAGTATCTCTGTCACCATAGAGGCTCATGGTCCCTCAGTTTCCAGCAGACTGGTTATTAAAGAAGGGCCACTTAACAAGCTCAGTTTCTGGGCTCCTCTTGCACATTTGCATACAGTACCATATGTAAATATCCAAAAGCTAAATGTCAAAGAGGGTAAACACAGGCTGTCACTCAGCTCTCCATAAGTCCGAGGCTCTAAAGAGCACATTAACGCGAAGTCGCATAGGCCAGAGTCTGACGTCAGAAGACGTGCTTAGCATCAGCTATCGAATTCCTGATCTGAAATCACCAGTGATGATGTGGACACAAGTGCAACAATGCTTTCCTGCTATAGGTGATTTAGTTACTTAACGCTTAACATACCAATCAGGGATATGAGAATTCATTAGCAGCACCATTCTGTTTGGGCTGCCAGGCTTTTAAATGTATGACCCCACCATCGCTCCCCTCCCGCACCCAACTCTGTTCATCCATATTCCAACCCACTCCCCCGCTCTTAGCCCATGTTACCACAGTAACTATGGAGGGAGAAATAGAAGCGTTGCCGTTCAGGAGACAGATGAACATGTGTGTGCTGCTGACATGACGAATGTGTCTGTGTGTGAACATGCTCAGTTAGTGTGTGTGCTGGACGATATTGATTCAGTGAGACAGACAATTAAACCTCCATGTAACCACCCAGCAGAGGATGGGGTCATCTTGCATTGGAATGAGGCGGGAGTAATCTTCCCTGACACACTTATAACATTTTTACATGGTTCACTTCCACTTTACCGGAGCAGAACAGGACGGTACACGGGGTACGGGGGGTTTGATGTAAGAGGAAATAGAGCACTTATATGGCTGCAAGTCATACATTTTCTCCCTGCCGCTTTGTGTTCTGGTCAGACCCAAAAAAAGCAATGGAGTTGGCTGTTTTTAGTGTGTGGTCAGCACTTTGCTCCAGCATGCAGCACTTTGGATGTTAGTTTTATTTGTGCTAAAGGGGCCATTTATTTATTTTTTAACAAAAGTCTGTTCTTTCTCAGCTAAAGGTATGGTGTATTATTTAAATCACAGAGAAATGAAAAATAACAAATTTCCATTTTATGATTTTAGTTGGATAAAACATTTTCCATTATTTCCTCATCTTTATAGGATCATAGTTTTCAGCTAATGCAAAACAAGTTGGCTATTGAGGCATCAGACTGATCATCAGAGCTTTTCCTTACTCCTCCCATTTCTTTCTTCATGAAGTCTCATTTAGTTCAATTTAAAAACTGAACATTTGTGTCATTTATTCTCACATGTTCTAATTAGTTTCTTCTCTTGTTTTTGTTCATGTGTCCGTTTAGCTGCTGCCGTGGTGGACTCTGCGCTACATCAGCCTGCACCAGCAGATCCTGGAGTCCCGTTCTCCACAGCTCCTAGACTTGGCCCAAAGCAGCATTGACAAAGGTCTGTGAACACAATAATGTGGACATCAATGCACAAGGAGTGTAATGGTACACAGAATTGTACCCATTTCGTACCCAGATTTGGAGACGTGGTTCGGTGCAAGTTCAATACAGCAGAAAACCCAGTTATTCTGAACACAGTGGTCAAAGACGGACACTGTCATTCTGCTGAGGACTGAAGCAGCATTTTGCCAACTCACAACCGTAGCAAACTATTTCCACTATAAAAATAAGGAACATTTCAAACACTTGTGTATTACACTAAACCAAAAGGCAACTTGTCTGTTGAGTGTTGCAATTAGTCTCACCGTGGCAATATACCCATGTAAATGCCAATTGCGTCAGTATTTGTTTTATCCTGCTTTGTGTTTGAAAGCAGAGGGAGAATGAGTTTTACTCCGGTTGGCTTTTTTCTCGTCCCACATCTCGCATGCTTGATGTGTTTCCATTCACTCTCTTGTTGACTGTCCCTTCACTTCCCTGTCGGTTCCCTTCTTTCTGTTTTTATATTGATATAATGGAGAAAATAGAATTGTGACCAAAAGTTCAACAATCACAAAAAGAAAGCAGGCTCAGAAATCGTATCTCTGCCTATTGATCTGTGTGCCGTTTCTGTTATACGGACACTGCCGCAACTACATACATACTGTTGATTCAGAATAATGGACAGCGCTGTCCATTATTCTGAATCAACAGTTAAACATCACATGCATCTCTGCAATGATTTTGTTGTTTTTACTATTTTTCTACAGATGCATAAAGCTACAACAGATAAAAAACATGATTGGATGAATTCTTAGTTGGGGACTGTCTACTGTGAGAATGGGCTTCAATACATGCTATTTGGGGGTTCCATTCACAGTACATTGCAGCTTTAGGGTTTGGGTCCATGTCTGAACAGGGACGTTGGGATGGAGTTCTCTGTTGGTGCAGGTATGTAGCGTCTGATATTGTTGAGGCGATGCCTTGTTCTGCGACTAAAGTAGAATCAGGTTGAACTAATTTGCAGGGTGACCCTTTGTTTTTCTGCCTCTACGTTTGCACTCCTTCACTGTCACCTGACTGGCACCATTCGAATGAGTAAGGAGCTGAGCTGAAATTGGTCACTGCCTTAGGTCGCCTAGTGGGTTTCGTGCCCATATGATTTGATCAGACTGGATGACTCGTGCCGCCCCAGATTGCAGTGCGAGTGCTCAGCACTCAGTCAGCAGTGTGATATAGAGGAAAGAAATTAAAATGTTTTAAGTATTTCTTAACCGATTAATCGATGCTGTATGAAACTGGATTACTAAGATAATCGATGGCTACAGCCCTCATCTAGTAAGTTTATTAGACTTCATTTCAGCATCAGGCGCTATCCACTGAATGACCTAAATGACCTACATGAGGCATGGATTATTGTTAGGCTAGATGATAGGTCTTATTCGTTTTTAGGTATTTTTTTTTAGTGATGTTGCCAACAGTCAATTTGGTTCCTGTTGAGTTTTGAAAACTATGAAAAAAGCAACCTTCTTTCTTCATTGTGGGCTAAATATTTTGGTTGGAAGGATCGATGTAGCCCAAGGGGTGTCATTTGATTGAGTGTTTACACAGATCCCACTACAGCAGTTAGTAGACATTAGTTTCATACAGGTAGCACTTTGTTTTGAGAGATGTGATGCTTGTTGAAATTGTGGAATCGGGCCAGAATGCAGTGAAGAAATTAAATGGGTGCTGAGGCTATTGTTTATTATAATTCAAATAATAATTACATTTTATTTATTTATACAAGAGAAATCTTCTCAGGGCACTTTTCACACAGACCAGGTCTAGACAGTACTTTTTATAATAGTGTTTTTTCATCTCTGGAGCGTCGCTTGCTTGAGTGTATTGATTAAATGCAGCTCAATCCATATTCCAGATGAGCAGTTGGTCACACAGCCCTTTAGAGAGAGGAGAGGTCGGCTGCTGTACAAGGCGTGCAGCTCTGTGGAGGGGCTGCATGATGTGTGCTCTTGTTTTGGTGTGAGATGGTGCTCTTTTTACTCACACTGCTCACAGTTAGTTTGACTGCTATAAGTAACATGGACGGTCAGAACAACACTAGTCTGACTCACCGGATGTGTGGTTGTAAGCCTGTCATTGGCCTCCTATTTCAGCCGTCATTCTATTTTGCAAGGGCACCGTCGCTGCATCTTGGGCTTAGCGCTGCCTTAGCCAATGGTGATGGCATAGCCAGACCTATCTCCTCAGCACTGTGGAGAAAGGTCTGGCAATGCATGGCTACAACAACATTCACCAACTTAATTTATATTTTTAACTGTCAGCTTTCAAGAATAGTTTAATTACCCAGAGTGGGACCAACTCATGAATGCCGTCTGCACATGTCTGGATGCTGTTGGAAGGTTCTGAAAGAAGCAGTTTATCCACATCTAGCATAGCTTAACTCCACACCTCCAGATTTATTACATTTTCAAACTTGCCCCAACCGATGCGGATGAGATGCATCACCTTAGGACTTTAATCAGACTACACACAGCTCCCTCTGAGGAGACTAAAGTACCTATACAACTTTTTACAAATCTGCAGTAGCACTCCTGAAGACCTGTCGACAAACTTTGATGTGTTAAACTGATGGAGTTCCTCATTACTGGATCCCCAAAGCCATTACAATTCGTCCCGAGGGGAATATGAATTTGTCTACCAAATTTCATGGCAATCCGTCCGATAATTGTTGACATTTCACTCAAAAATATAAATATCAACCTCATGATGGCGCGAGAGGAGAAATCAGAGGATCACCCAGGTCATGAGGATTCATCCTCTGGGGAACATGACTGTGTACAAACTTAGTACCCCTAGAACCACGCTATCATGGCTGAAAATGTTGCACACTGCTAATGGAGAGATGAAGGAAGCCTCTCTACATGTGTCTGGATAAATAGGTAAAATATCACGATTACCTAAAAGCCAAACTTGTCTTTTAAGAGACTGAATAATTCTATAATCTGGCTTTCATTGTTTCTCTTCCCTTCCACTCGACAACTCGCACAACCAACCAGAAAGTCATTTTCCTGTGACATGAAATCACCGGTGCTAAAGGTGACACGGATGTCTTGCATGTAAATCGGTCTCTCTCTCCTTACTCACTCTGGGCACCATCCACTTTGGTGTCGCTTCATTAATGTTGAATGGGAATGAACGTGTATGATTTCTGATCATTAATTATACACCACCTCTCTGCTTCTTTTCTCCCTCCGGTCTCAGCGAAGGATAACCTCTCTGAGAGCAAACGCATTGTTTAAATGTGCTCTGTATGGTTTGATATGAAGTTAAACTGATGTCAATATTGTATTTGGCGTACAAATTTAAAAGAGAAAATTCAAGTCATGTTTGTATGAGTGGTTCTTGCATAAGGCCCAATGTTCCAGTTGCTATGGGTTTCAGGAACCTGCATGTAAGCTTTACAGTTTCCATTCTAGTCCGGTGTGAAAACAAAGTCCAGGACCACACTGTGTGACATAGACACCATTTAGATATAAAGCTATTCTTGGTGCTTACTAAAAGGAAAAGGTAGGTGCTAGAACTATTTGTCAAGGAAGGAAAACAATGATGCAATTAGGATTTTTGCCCATGATGATGAAAAAAAAGTGAATTATTCTCCATCTTCTTTCACAGTGCTGAAATGTCAGTCTCTGTTGTCGGAGCAGAGAAACCTGGCTATCCATTTCCACCTGGAGTGTGTCTACACCTTTCTGACCTACTATGAGTACCAGCCAGCCAAGGAACACATCAAGAAGGCCCAGGAGCTCTCAGGGCTGAATATCAACACGACTGGTACGTAAAGTACAGCATCATCTGGTCGAAGGGAATGATTTGCATAAGAGGTTGTTGTCATACCGGCTAATGATCCTCCTAACGCCGGATTCACACTGGACGCAGACGCCCCGTGATTTTCGTAGAGGCGCTGCCCCCGTCCTTTCGGCACCCATGTTAACCAGTTGGGTAGTTCATGCAGGACGTGGCGGCGCGGAGCTCTGTGGCCAGATCCCCATCTTCCATGACAGATCGGGCGCTTCTGCATCCAGCGGAACCCGGCGTGAGCCCATATCAATATTAGTGGCCTTAGTGATACCTTGATTGAAAGTAAACACTTACTGTCTCTGGTCAATCAAGGGGCTCTTGGCAAGCGGACCCATTTCCAGCAAAAGTACTTGGCTCAGCTCATTCTTGAGGTCGAGAGAGAGCAGGACCAGCCTGGCTGGGTGGATGATGAGCTCAGTCCCACCCCCACTCCTCAGGCCAGCCTGCCCAAGGTATGTGCTTCTGTTGTCTTCTTTCAACTTGGTGATTTTTGATATTTCATTGACCACTTAGAACCTTCTGTTGTTCAGATGACTGACTGTTGAGCTCTGTTTCAACAAGCCTTCATTCATACACAGTAGGTCATTTTAGTGGAAAGGTGTCCTGCTGTGTTGGGCCACATCTGTAGGCTCGTCTACTTGCAGAGAGTAAAACTCACTCTTCTTCACGCGACCGACTAATGTAGCCAGGATGTCTTCGGACAAAGCATCGATGCGGCGCAACAGTGTTGTTGGACACCGGGATCATGTCCAACTTGTTTGCTTCTCTCTCTCCAATCATACATTCCACCATCTCTTTGGCAGCTGGCAAGCACACGTCTTCGGCGATTATGTGAGGTAGCCCCTTTCTTGCTATTCTGTGACCAGATATGAAGCCCGTAGTGCGTTTTTTGTAGACCCAACACATGAATGAGACTGCAGTTGTTTTTGGCTGTTTTGTAAGTCCTCCGATTTCGATACATAAAATGTAAGGGGCTTTTGACTTGCACTGGCATGCTTGGTGTTCAGGTGGCGACGTAAATAAGAGGGCTTCAGACAGCTGTTAGCCAGAAACTCACTGCACACCACACACTGTGGCTTTGGGCAATCTGCATTGCCAATCCAAGTGAAGCCCAGACCCAGATACCTTTCATCATATTTCCTCTTTTTTTTTCTCCTCAGTCTGATGCTCACTCTCGTTTCCTCTTTTTTCACCTTGACTCCGCGATGGGCCCATGTGCTCCCGATTTGTCTGTGCTATCCCTTCCTCCTTTTCGGTCTCATCTTTCTCTGACTCCCGTTCGATTTCTTCTCCCGGTCACTCCCCAACGCACATCTCCGTTTCTCTCGCCTCCGATTCCTCTCTCTCTCTCGCTCTCTGTCCCTCTCCTCTTTTATGACTGATAGCTTCAGATGTCCCACCTGACAGTTTCCCCGATTTCAGCCAGTTTAGCATATTTGCATGAACGTTGCTGAATGGATGAAGTTAGCTGTTAGCTGACGTTAGCTGCACAAGCTAGGCTGGCTAGTGTGTACGTAAAAGACAGACTGGCGGCAGGAGCTGAAGTGCATTTATTTATTAAATTGTAAGTTTTTAAATTTAAATCTTACAAAGGGAATTTTTATAATTCATGTTTTTATTTTGTGAAAAATCCCACTTACATTTTTTTAAATTATATTTAATATTAATTATTACACCATTAGACCACCATTACATTTTTCCTCTCCACCACACTTTGGGAATCCCTGCTCTAGAGAATGTGTTCTATTGGCAGGTATGAGAACCTTCCAAATGTACAGTGGTCACAATATATTCAGGTTTCACTGTTACTTTATAAACTATTAGGATTGAAATCACTGTTATGGTTTGCGATTTCTTGGATGCTAAAGGTAATTTGTATTTGATGGTGCATGAAAATATATTCATTGTTGTGATTTGACAAGACAAACCAATCAAAGGGTAAACTGTCTGGCATAAAAACATTCTAACCGTCATAATATGAAAAAGAAGATCCCTAAAGATGGAGCTCCTAAGTGCTCTCTGACTGACTGACTTGGTAGCTGACTGCTTCTTCGGTTTGTTGGAGAGGATCTTGCACAGATCAAGGTGTTTGAGATCATTTTGGCCTTTTCTGCTGCCCAGAATGTACAACAGGGGCAATAATTTGTATTACCCAGCATCATCAGCAGAGGGAGACGTCCACCTCTGGAGCCTTAATAGCGTCTGAAGTCTGTTGCTACAGTTGACCCAATGGAATTCCCAGCACTGCACTCTCCACTCTCCATCCTGCTGTTGTTTTAGGATTGGGAACAGAATATCAGTGATGTACATCTGGTCCAGTGATCAAGTTAAGTCTCGTGTTATTGAGGTTCAGCAACCTATTTTTTGTCTAATTCTAAGAAATAAAGTCAAAGTACGTTTTACTGACATGTAGCTCATAGAACAAGACAACTGTGCTTTAAGAACATTTTTTTGTTGCTTTGAAAATTTTTTTTTTATGGGGTAAAAAAAGAAATGCATGCACTAATGTATGAATAATACATTTCATTATTTGAATGATGAAACAAATTTCTGTAAAGTTCAAATGGATAAATCATAAAAACTGAAAACGGAAGTGCCTCAACATAATGAATCAATCAAAGAATTTACTACATCTACAAGCCAAACTTTACACCTACAGTATAATCCAGCTTCACAGTTCAAACATTCCATTTAAACAGAAGTCATGCACACACAGATAGATACAGGTACATTATTCATACATGCAGAAGTTCTCGTATGCAAACATACCTGTAAACAGTATTCAGACACACTGATGCACATATACTTTATCAATACAGTATATCAACAGAATAATTGATTATCATGTACACGAAACTCAAAGCATTTTGAAATGGATGAGTTGATATTCATAAACGCTCCTGTACAGGCAGAAAGGAAGTCATATAATACTAAATAATAATAAATTCAGTTGCAAAATGTCTTTTGTAGTTCGGCCATTGTGCACTAGAGCAGTAGTTCTCAACCTTTTTTCAGTGATGTACCCCCGAACCAGCGTAAAGCATTTTTGGTTGAAAAAAAGATCAGTGATTTATTAAACTGCCATTCATACACAACTAACATTCATACAACATTAACACCGCGTAGGCACAGCCACAGGGTTTTTTGGGGGTTAAGTGTCTTGCCCAAGGACACATCGATATGGACTAGCGGGGATCAAATTGGCGATCCTCTGAAGGACGACCCAGCTCTACCACTGAGCCACAGTCGCCCATTAGGCCCAGGATGAGCTGGAAGAGGGTGTCTGGACTGACTTGCTTAATCTTTAAAAAATTTAAAAAATGATTTAAAATATATAATCGCATGTTGGAACTTTCTGCACCAAATTCGTTATCGGTTCTTCTTTCTGTCCAGTCCGTCGTTTTTTTTAGACATGTAATTATATATGTATTTGGATTAAAAAAAAAAACAACCTATAACCTTCTTGGTAATGATGGAGAAACTCAAGCCATACAATGTCCAAGACACTGCTGAGTTACTGTTAAAGAACTCAAGGAGACATTGGTTTCCTCTTTTGTATATTTTCTGAAATCACCCAAACCCTTGCTGGACTGTGTCCATGGAGCTCTCTGTCTCGTGGCTGTGGTCCAGCTCCGGTTCCTTGTGCTGTGCTCAGACCACTAAGGCCCTCATTACTGGAGGAGTAGTAAATCACCTCGATCAAGGCTGTCATTAACTAGAGCTTACTGACTTCCTATCTAGAATGGATCGAAGGAAAGCAGAGAGGTACAACTCACTTCATCACTGGCAAGTCAAAAGCAATGCCAGCAGGGACATTGGACCATTCCTGTCACTGTGGTTCTGACCTAACTTGGCACTCTTGTGTTATTCTAATGAAAGTAAGTCCGATCCTGAGTTTTTGTTGCAGGTGCCAAAACACATTGTCGGAGCATAGGGTTTGGAATGAGTTTGCTCTTTTTGCATCAATACTTGCCAAGAATAGATTAGAGGAATGCACTCGACTGTCATTGACAGTCATGCATTGTTCAATCCTTAATGTGATCCCTGGCCCCTCTGGTTATATCTTGATGTGTTTCTGCAAGACGCTGAACCCCGAACTTTGTCTGCAGAAGGTTTGTGTACATCGATAAATGTGAGACATTGCTAAGTGCTTGGCCCTACTCTCAGGTTAACGGTGATGCAGTCTACTATTTAACATATTACAGTCCTTTTGTAGGTGAACATATCTCTAGGAACAAAGAGGCACATTTTAAATCAAGAACATTTTTAGTGACAGTCAAACTTTGGATGCTGACAATATGTCAGTAATGCCCCATTTTACTCCAAAACACTACATAATATCAAGCCCTGTAATGGATGCATTCAGGTGATGCCTTTGCTAATGGGATAGTGTGATTGATATGGTCCATTTACCAAGACAAACCAACATTGGTTCATCAATATCAGCACACAGCTTTTGTCTGTTCCACCTGTCTTTTTCCAGTGTCACTTTGTAGTAGTAAGACTTCCAAAGGTTTCTGAGGGAAATAAACACTTGCGAAGTTATGTTCCAATAAAAAGTAGTCGAAATTAGATTGCATTAACATTGAGCAATTTGGGGTTCAGAGTCTTGCCCAAGGACACTCCTCCAGTCCACATGATTGGGATCAATTGCCCATCTTCCACTTGGTAGATGACCCGCTCTAGCTTCTGGGGCACAGCCAACATGAGAATACTGAATACTGGAACTCGTACTAAAACATGCATTCTGTACTAAAAACTCAAATGCTATACCCCAAGATATCATTAAACACTGCCTTTCCAATGAATGGAAAGACGGTTTAAAAGAAATGTACTAGTGAGATTGCCTAAAATATAAATACATGGTGAATGGACTGTACTTGTATAGCACTTTTCTAGCCTTTCCGACCACTCAAAGCGCTTTGACACTTATCATTCACCCGTTCGCACCCATTCATACACTGATGGCAGGGGCTACCATGCATCAGGACTAACATACATTCACACACTGTAGGCACAGCTATGGGAGCAATTTTGGGGTTAAGTATCTTGCCCAAGGACACATCAAGATTCCTTAAATATTTTATCTTCAGCTACAATTACTTAAGCATGTGGTGGACCCCAACATGAGAGGGAGGTGATTCAGATTAACCTTATGGCCCAGCTCTGGTCCTAATTCTAGTTTTTTCTTAAAGTACATGTCTTCCTGAAGACAAAGAGATGAGTGAAATGGACATCACCCATTTTCAAGAAAGTGCCCACTAAGCATGCCACTATGTATTGGGAATTCAGTCTTACAGCTTCATGTCTCACAGTTGTAATTTTCCTTTTATGGGTTGTGGCTGCAAGCAATTATTCAAAATATGTAATTCTTGATCTAACACAGCATTCCGGCTCACTTTGCCGCTCTTATTTGTTTTCTTGTGGAGTGGTTTATGGCTGCAGCATATATTTACATCTGACTGTGTGTCTCCATGTGCTTACAGGACTACGCTCTGGGTGATGAGACCCGGCTGGATAAGATCAATTTAGCGGCTCCAGATCAGTATGAGCTGCCTGACCTCAGCGCTGAGGAGCAGGCCGTCATTCTGGGGATCTGGTAAGTCTTCTACGTCTTTCTGCAGCATTCCGTTCAATCTCTTGATCTCGGTTTAAAACGTAGTTGTGTTTAAAAAGACATTTTGAAAGTAATGGCTGTATGTGTTCAGTTCTTCACAAGGAAACTCATATATCATGCTAATCTACCAGTTGTGGAACCTGAACTACAGAAAATAACGTGGGTGTCAGGGCACCATGTATCAAGGCTCCAGACCTTACCGCAGCAGCTCTGGTTTGACTCCAGCTTGCCGCCCTTCGCTGCATGTCATCCCTGCTCTCTCTCCCCTGCCTTTCCTGTCCCTCACCAAGCTTTCATTATCAATAAAGCAGAAATTACCACAAGAATATATATTTTTTTTAAATCTTCAAAATCAAAAACAGAACTTGAGGTTATTCACTCCCTCACACTGACTTGATTAACATCTTGAAAAGGATGTTAATCCTTTTTACATGGTCATAACACATAGCCATTCACTGCATAATTATTGGGTTATGGGTTTCACATGTTATTAGAACCAGGCGGCAACCTCCAGTTCTGACAATTTTTACTCTTTGTGGTCAAAATATGGCAAATCTTGTGCTGGTTGCAGACAACAGACTTTAAAATGTGGCCATAACAGCCTGAAAGGGAGAGGAACTCCAAGCAACTCAGCTTAAAGTCTTTGGAAAGACATATTTGGCCGAGTTGTCACTTTAAAGTTGACATCACCATGGCAACCTTTGATGAAGCAGCTGTAGCAGTAGCAGCTTTAGCAGTGGTGTCATCAGAGTGACGGCCTTCAGGAAGAAACTGTTATTGTGTCTGGTTGTTTTTGGCGTCCGCTGTTCGGTACCTTCTACCAAAGAGGTGAAGGTGTAACATGGGTTGAAGGGTCTGCAGTGATGTTACCTGCACATCTCCTGACCCTGTAGGTGTATAACTCCTGGGTAGAGGGCAGGCTGGTGCCAATAATGTCATCTGCAGTCCTGAATGTCTGTTGTAGTCTGTTCCTGTCCTTTTTGGTGGCTGTTCAAAATCCCGCAGTGATGGGTGTGCAGAGAACAGACCGGAGGATTGCAGCGTAGAATTGAATCAGCAGCTCCTGAGGCAGGTTGAACTAGGTCCTGGGAGATGGTGGATCCCAGAAACCTGAAGAATTCCACAGATTATACATAACAGTCAGTGATTAATCCCCATGCTACTGCTGGGACTTAAAAGGTCCAGTGAAGGTCAATGGAGCAGTCAGTGAGATTGCTAGGAGATGATGGATGAGCAGCAGGTCTGTCTAAAGTTATGGTGGATCCGCAAACCTGCTTGCTTCGCAAGACATTCACAAGACTCTTGAGTCTTCCAGAGAGTGAAAAAGAAGTAATGCAAAAAATAAGCACTCTATTCTTATTGGGGAATTACTAGTTACTTATTTGTGGATACAAAAGTTAGGCTTATATGCAACTGTGGGGTTGATCGGAGACATACGCTCATAAACTGATAATTGCATTTTTGTCCGAGCAAAGGTGAAGTTATTGTAACAGGGTAAACACATTGCAAGGTGAATTACTATTACTGGATCCATTCAGCCACAGTTCTGTCTTACACAGTTTGATTCAAATACACAATCAGCTACTTGCATATTTAAGTGCAAAAAACATGAAGACACTGGAGAGAACTTATGCACATGGAGCATCAATGAACTTCGAGCCATTACACAACACCAACAGTTTAAAATGGGAGAATAATTCCGATTGGTGACTGAAGGTGTTGCAGGGGTGTTGATGTAATCTAGTGTGTAAGTTGTAAGTTTGACCGGACACAGTGCGATCAAGAATTTGAATTACCTCTTTATTGTCGGTGCCTGTATTAATCGGAGCACATCGCAGGATGTGATTACTTTTTATTACATTTTAGCCATGTTCCTCTTGGAATGTGACCGTGTCTGGATCTATTTTTCTCCCTCTGTGGATGTGCTGCGTTCTTAGCAGCTCTTACTTTACCTTTTGGGTAAGGTACATTAAACGGCACAATTTGGATTCTATACTTGAGACATGAAATTAAAGGTTCTTAAATTGTCAATGCATTATCGATTAATGCAATGTGAAATGTCATAATCTCTTGTTTCATTTGATTCATAAGTAGTTTACCTTGACAGTTAATTATTATATATATTATTATAGAAAGCTGTGGACAGGGGTTGTAAGTGGACTTTAAGTTGAGATTTTTTCATCGAAGTAAACATTTTGACTCGCTAGCTGGTAACCTCAGGCAAGTTAGGAAGTTTATTTGTTTTCGTGGTGTTTAATCATATTTTCACTCTCTCTTTTAACTGCTCTGATCAGAAGTAATGCTCCCAATTTTGTTTTTTTCTACAATGACAAAGGCTTTCTACTGTGCTCGAACAGAACTAGTTCGTATGACATTTTGTCCAACCTTGTCGAAAACTAAAAGTATTTACACCTGATTAAAATGGCCACACGGGTGGAAAAAGTCCGTCAGACCAAGGACACGTAACTTTGTTTCAATATGGAGAGAACAGTACACATTTTCAGAGTCTGTTCTGGAATGCATGTTTAGTGTTGCACTCGGTTTCACTCAAATTAAAAGTGACAAGTAGTTGTGTCAAGAATGAATTAAGAGATCTGAGAGAGAAGTTCAAACCCTGCTTACTGTCTGACGTCCGCACAGCTGGCGTATCACATCGTGAGTTGAGTGTGAATGTTGGATTGACGGTACAGATATTGTTGTCTGAAGCTTTTTGACAATACGACAAGCACTACTGATGAAGCATACTGTCGGCTTACACCTACTCCCTCAAAGCCAGGTACAGTTAGCTAGAGCAGGGGTCACTAATTGGCGCGCTTTGGGATGAATATATAAAATGGTGACGCACATCTGTGGGAATTCCCTCGGAGGTAAGAGCCTTGATGAAACGGAAAGCAGTTCAACATTGGGAGGGCGCAACAGTTTCCGTACAGCGATATTGGTACACAATCTGTCTGCTGTACAAACATAAACCTCCACCTTGCAATTGCCCCATAATACCACACTCCCGATCCAAGTGTAGAGGGGACACAAACCTATTGATATTCAATGAATAATCCAAATCCAAGAAGCTGAGCCAGGTTTCCCTTCATGCCATCAAACAGGCATTCTGTATTCACGAAGGTGATGTACGTTATCCTGCAGTTCAGCAACCTTTTTCCTCAATGAGTGGTCATTTGATTGCTGTAACCCTCGCACGTCTCCTTATTTTCCACATTTCCTGCGTATCCGAGTAGGCTTTTTAGCAAGTACTGCCAGGCTTGATATAATCCTGATCATAACCCTGCTTCTGATTAACAGTTTTGTACAGCATGCAGTCCACTGAATCGTCCATAGGAATGTCCAAGAATGGGTGATTCCACTGCATTCCAAACGGAACTATTAGATGCATTGCCATGGGATTTGGTACACATTCCCTATGCTCCCGGTAATGAATTGTAATAACTTTGATTCCCTAAGCTAGGACCACCTTCAGGTCAACATTCCATTGGCCGAATACTTTGATAAGGAACAAATAGTCTACCTGCAATTCTAATGACATCCCCTTTGGCCTCAGCTTTGTGTTTATTGGCAATTAGCAAATGTTAGCATGCTAATGTGCTAAACTGTGAACATAGCAAACAATATACAGTTGTGTGAAAAAGTGTTTGCCCCCTTCCTGATTTCTTATTTTTTTGCATGTTTGACACACTTAAATGTTTCAGATCATCAAACAAATTTAAATATTAGACAAAGATAACACAAGTAAACACAAAATGCAGTTTTTAAATGGTTTTTATTATTAAGGGGGGAAAAAAATCCAAACCTACATGGCCCTGTGTGAAAAAGTGATTTTTTTTCACACAACTGTACCTGCTAAACATCAGTATAGTGTTTTGATTATGTTAGCATGCTGACTTTAGCATTTAGCTTTAGCTTAAACCACAGCTTCACAGAGCTGCTAACATAGCTGTAGACTTGGTATTGTTTCATAATGTATATACTGTTGACCAAGAGTGTTGTATTGCAGCACTGACTTCCAGAAGAATAACCCCGTCCATAAACTGACTGAAGAGGAACTCCTGGCCTTTACATCTGTAAGTAATTGTTCATTGTTTTTGTGACACCGTAGTTACAGATGCCCTGTTTTTGTCCTATTGCTTTTGCATTGAACATCCCTCACTGTTATTGAAATCCCAAAGCCCTTATACTTTCAACAATATATGAATCTTAACTAGGGCTGAACAATGAATCAAATGCAAACAAACTTTGACATTTTTCCACTGGGTTGGAAACACCTGGCCCTGTGGGCTTCACATGCACACATGGTGCTCCACGTGGCATATGCAAATCACAAAAGATGAAGAAAACCACTTTCATCCTAGAGAGGGAAAATGGCCAAGGCCAGGTTTAAGTGAAATCCACATCTTCACATTGAAGTAAGAGTAGCTTAGCTCAGTACGTGGTCGAGCGAGAGTGTGGCGGTGGATGAGCTCAAAGCAGACGCTTGTTGGCAATCGGAGTAAAGAAGAAATGAATAGTAAATTTGTCATCTTTTAGTAGATGTACGGTGTAGGTTTCAGTTCCTGTGATTTAACACTGCACCTCCTGAAGGACGAAGTTCCCATGTCTTGCTTCTAAACTGCTGGAGAAAGTGAAGTCCTGGAGGCAAAACATTCCTAATGCAAGATAAAATGTATATTATTCATATTGAATCCTGCATCATATCATCTCATTTCATCGTAGTACGTAGGCCTGGCATGAAAGTTTATATGTTGGCTGTATCCAGGATCCTGTCAAAGGTCACCTATCTGGGAGTGACCCTTGACTGGACCCTGTCCTTCAAGGAGCATCTGAAAGTAACGGCAGTAAAGGTCCCGACACAACCTGCTTTGGAAGCTTGTCGGCTCAAAAATGTGGAGCTCCTACATTGAACCTCAGTACTGCCCCTCTGCATTTCTGGTCCAGGTCACCCCATACACACCATGAGTCATAACGGGGACTATTTGCCCAACACTTTTCCCCCTGGCTCCCTGTCCTATCTAACCAACACATTCTCACACCAATGCGTCACATAACACAACTTAGTCAGTGGCACTAAGCGCCAAACCTCGAGGCTTTACCTTTCCCTCGAACGTCGGGTCTGCTAGTGTCAGTGTCAATATATGCTTGTTACATGCAATAGCGTCTTTTCAAAATAAACTTCCATCTTCAAAGGAAGTTAGATTTAGGCAAGAAAAACACTTTAGGAAAAGAGCATGGATGAGTAACTTGGCTACGTACGTTACTACCACACATGAATCACGTGACTGCCATCGTAAACAACTCGCATGACTATTGACTTAGTTGAAAAAATGTCTTTTAGTCTCCTGGATGAATGTCCTGTGTTTGTTTGACCCAGCCACCTACACTTCTGACCTGTGACTATCTCACTCTTTAAAATTTGTCAATTGCTCTCCCATAATGCCGCAGGTAGGTGCTTTGCATTCAGAAGCACTGACCAAGCTGCGTTACTTGATGCGTTGGGAGTAAGGGGGGGGTTGGTCAAATATATAACTCTCCCACATATCTGACTAGTCTCACCTACTCAAAGGTTGCTCCAAAAGGTCAAAGATTCCTCATCTAGCAATCCACGAAGACATCTTCAATCCATCTCCTGCTCGTCTGCTGTCAATATTACCAATTTGTAGATAAAAAATAGCTGACTTTACCACCCAATCTGCTTCGGAAAAGGAATGGGAGTCAAAGGATGTCCCAAACAAACATCTGGTGTCAGACCCCACTCAATAGGCTCCTGGCTGGCACCAGCCTCCAGCCAGAAAAGAGACCTTGGTCAAACTTCTGGTGTGTCCGAGACAATACAGCGAGGCCACTGTTCTAAAAACAGCATCTACGCTAACCTAAAGAGTTTAACGTAGATGCTGCAATGGCATCAGTTATATCAGAACGAGAGAGCAAAGAACTGACTGCTTTAGGGATGGAAAATATATTTTTGTTCTTCTCCCGACTGGCTCAGGCCAGAGTTTGATTGACAGATGATTCATGTAATCACCTGCCAAGTATTTTTTGAAAGTGCCTGCCCTTTTCCAAACAGTTTCTAATGACGGCTTCTCAGATAGTTCTGAATAACAAACCATCTGGCGGGTCAGGGTAGGTGCAGACAGCTGCATAGATTATAATGAGAGCGCATCTGTTGCCTGAGACGTGCGAATCATTACAGCAGTGGTTATTGCAGACAAACCTGGTAGAGATCTGCACTTTACCGATTTTACTTTTCTAGTTTAAACACATTTTTGTGGATTAAAAGTTCAGACTATTTTGCATAATGCCCTGTTTGGCAGGGTTGATCAGTTCATCCACCACTTCTAAATATTTTGACGAAACTTGGATGGATTGCCATGAAATTAGGCGAGCATTGTCAATTGTGAAGCGCCCAAACTTTAGGCTGTTTTATTTGTTGTCTTCCTGATGGAAATATTTTGTCTAATTCTCGCCTGGCTGCTCCCACTCTTTGCAGACACAAGCCAGTTAATTATAGACGAATAAGGTGGAAGAGTGAGTGGAACTGAAGACACAAATTGAAAGGTGAGAAAGTGAGCCGTGCTGCAGGCTGTCCTCTCACTCCGTCTGATTGAACAACAAAGTATTTTGAAGTCAACTGTGTAAACTTGTCATTAAGCTGCATGTCGTCTTAGGATAAAGTCAAAGACAGGATAAAGTCATTAAAAGTTCACTTTTAATTGACCCTTGATTTTTTTTTTTTTTTTTAGCATTTTTGTCTGTAGCAGCAATAACTCATTTGTTCTGTGAGCCACGCTTCAAAGACGTCTATTTTCACTGGATAAAAATCAGCAAAACTATGTCAGTAAAACAAATAACTTGCTTGTGGAAGTAGAAACATTGCTATACAAATTTTGACTCGAGTCATTAATTTGAGGACTTCCTTGTGGTTTTTGATTGAAATTTGTTGGTGGCACCAGACAAGTCAAAGAATGAACAAAGTTATTAGGATTCATCCTCTGGGAACCATGAATTCCATTGTAATCCCTTCAAAAGTTGTTGAGACATTTCAGTCTGCACCAAAGTCGCTAGCAATATCGCTAGCACGGCTAAAAATGATGTTATAAGTGTGTAACGATTCAACTCTTAATGCTCCTTACATTTTCCTTACGTACCTCATTCCGTCAGTAGTAGGGCAATCAGGGATTGTGTATTTGTGCTGAACCTTCACAGTCCGGGGTCCAGAATATATCTTAAGTAGATAGATGCACGTACTGTGGAACCAAAGTTGAGGAGCTAGAGTTCTGCCTGGAAACCTTTAGCTGTTAGCAACAGGTTAGTGCAACAAGTTTATTGCCATGCGAGCCGGTCAAACTATGATGAGCGCAAATAAAACATTGAAGCTGGAAGACCCAGGTCTTTAATAAAGAGTAGTGTACACGACAAGGACAGAATGTTGACGTTGCTCCATCGTTGTATGCTATGTGGACGGAAAACCATTGAATAGAAAACACATCTCCCAGATGTGCCGATCACCGGGACGAGAGAAAAGCAACCCATATTTCAATTTCACAGCATAAGAGATGCTTTTCAGTTTTGAAGCCTGTTGTGAACTGTTGCCTTTTGGGAAAGTGTGTTCAGTGATCGTACAGTTTAATACACAAGTGTTTGAAATGCTCCCTTATTTTTATAATGATCATGATATTTAAGTCAATCAAAGTTGACACTGCAAATTGTTCCCTCAGTCCCCAGCAGGAGTAAAGGAGCTGCATTGATGGTGTTTGTCATTGCACACATCAGCACAAAGACAACAGATGATTCCGCAAATGATCACATTTGGATGGAAGGACTTTGCTGTGGTCAACAAAACACACACTGTAAAAAATATTGTCTATAAATGTACTACTAAATCATTTTAAATGGTAGATTTTGCAACGGATGCATTATGACTTTTTCTAAATTCACTGTTTTGAACTTGACTTGGGAATTCAGAGCCACAGGTTGAGACCTACTAGTGACTTATACAACTTGTCCTACCTGAGCTTGGAACTGGACAGTGTGAACTCAAAGTAAAGTTTCCTTAACCACCATGTCAACTTCTATTTACATTGAAGTAAACAATATGCATTTATGATCTTACCTCATGAGAGAAATTAAAGTGGCATATGGAAAAAACAAATCTTCCTCACTTCTACTCACTTACTGAATGACGTTTTTCTATATTAAGTCCAACTTTTCGGTGTGCAAGAACTTAGAAAAATAGCACATATAAAATGATTAATCTTTTTTAAAGAACACCTGGTTCAGCTCATCTCAGAATAACTGTTAAACTGAAAACCCCCTTTGTCCTGAAACTATGCCGTATCCTAATTCCTATGTCCTGGATTCTGTTCAGTAAAGCTTTGTTTATACTCTAGCTTGACAACGTAGCGTGAGCTCCAAGTATGTACAGAGGCGTTTATAGTCTATGCGTACAAACAAAATGAACTGTGAAGAATCAAAAAGACGTGTAACTCATAGATATGCCCGTAGACTGTAGGTGTAACCGGCAAAACGGCATAAACCAACCTCCACAATGATGAGGAGGAATTACCTGTAAACTCATATCTCATATTCATGGTTACTTTATTGCCTTTGTACAAGCCCTGTAAGGAATAAAGTCAAATATTGCATTCATTATGAAGAAAAGGTTGAATATCCTGTAAACAATTTGATTTAGCTGTAAAGTATTTACTCAAAGGAAGATTTTTAAGACCCGTTTCTAAAGCATTTAAAAGTGAATTGGCCTTCTTTGTATAATCCCTAGATGTGTAAATAGAGCTTTTATCAGTGAACCATTTGTCACAATTACAGGAGTTCAAGCTTAAGTCCGGCTCGTCTAATCATTCATATTTCAGCTAATGATGCTATCCAAATGATGAGCTGGGATGGAAAAGCTGCAGGCGGCTGCTGGCTCTGTGAGCAGGCATCTTCCCAGCCTACATGTAGATCCAGGAATCTGCAGGCTGGTTAGATGGTTGTCACATGTCTAGCTGTCTTCATCGAGACATTACTTCTGTCACTTTCCTGGAGGACCTTGTGGAGCTCGTATGACTGT